ATCTGTGAAAAACGATCCTGGCCGATCATTGAGTAAGCTAACATTGTTCACCATGAATTCAAAGTATATTTTGGAACCTCAAAAGTGTTTGTGAAGTGGAGAAAAATTCTGGAAACCTTTTGAAATCACACAAGTAACGATAAATTGTTAAGTACATGTAGTTCACAATTGTATTCGAAATACATAACCTAAGTCGAAATATAATGAAAATAAATATCGTCTGTTCGCATTCACAGTGTTACAATACATACAATCATAACCTACTTATTACTACTACTTACCTCTGTTAACCCCAGTAGAGCATAGGCTGAAAATCATAACTTACTGAAACAAATTATTCATGTAAATCTCTTGGGAATTTAAGGTACTATATATATCAGTATTCAGTTTTGGAGATTGTTGAGGTTCATTGAAGTGAAATGGATTTCAGGAAACAGAACGACAAACTTACTGTGTGAACATACATTCGGTAATTAATGTTATTTGTTTAACTAAAACAGGGCAACTACGAGTAGTTACCTACCAGTTAACAAATGATACAACAAGAATAAAATTTCACAAAATAATTAATTTTTATGTATATTCACATATTCATAAAAAATGATCCTATAAGCACCTCAGTTTGTAGATATAATCAGTTAGTATGTACGTCACTGTAAGTCATTGAAGGATGTCAAAATCATTTTAAGTGAACAGTAAATTTCTATAAGTCGCAAACGCTTGTATTTGTGTTTAAAAGTACATCCAAAAGATCATAGAAAGGCAATTCAAGTCATCAAACAACTGAACACGTGATAAGGTCATTCCTAAAATAATGGACACGCGAGAAAATAAACACTCAATTTATTCTTATTGGTTAAATAATTGATTTTAAAGGTAAGTTTATTAAACCGCAGAAATGAAATCTTCAGAGAACAGATTTTTATACAATTTAAATGTGTAGTTCAACTTTCCCTTAATCTTAAACTATGACGGATTCTTCCTCAACTGTTTCTATCGATAATTTCGATGATAAATCTGAGTTTTTAACACTCATAGAATCGATTATAAAGAAAGATGATGCAAATCGATTACTAGCAGTATCAAATAGTTTTAGTCAGGATATTACTACTTCCAATATTACTGATACTGGTAAATGTATTGAAGCGGCGAATAAACAGTTGAATTCTGAGCATCAAATTTCTGGATATGAAAGCCTATTGCATGTAAGCATATTTTTTAGCAGTGATCTTTTGGTTTTTTCATTTCTTTTTTTTTAATTGCGTATCATGAGACGATGAAAACTCAACGTTAAAATTATATTTGTTAAATAAGATTTCAGCTCGATATTTTGATATAACTGTAATATGGGAACAAACCTATATTGCAGTTGAACTAATCGTTGTATAATCTAGGTCTCTTATCTCAATAACTTCTGTTAATTACCAACTAACATGTTAGTCTTTCGTACTTTTGAAATGAATTCAATCATTTCATATCTGCAATCCATCAAAAACCTAGGGGTAAATCATAAAGAAATCGGAGGTTCATCATTTCCACACAAAGAGTAGTAGGATTATTTTAATAGGTAACGAATCAGATAAAACCCTTTTGATACTCAATTTAAGTTGGCTACAATATCAATGTTGTTATCACCCTATCATTTTGAAGCAACTTATTATTCAATGAGCATAGAGTATGTACATGAAATAGTGTTTCACATTCGACAGTTCATTAGTTTTTAAAGACTTATAACAACCGGTCTCCATCTTATTATTGTCGAAGTATCGCTACCTAATTTTGTTTATGAGTGTAAATATCTTCATGCTAAAGGGCTTCTTTCCAAATTCTTACAGCCGTGAATAGTTTTCTTTCCAGAGAATTTATCATGGCCTATAAACATTTTATAAATCAGAAAGCTAGCTGAAGTCAGGGAACAACGATATAGGGAGGTCATGAATGTAGATCATTTTCAGTTTCTGCACGTCTACTGTATTACCTTATCTACTATCCAGCGAGCCGCTGATAAACTGATTTATACTACAACTTACCATAAACGAAGGAAATTGAAACGGAAATCAGTTGATCCAGTTGTTATGTTTCATGCCATTATTTTCACTATATGATGACAAGAAGATTATTCCAGAATAAGCTTAAGCGTCCTGAGTGTTATCCAAAAGTACTTACAGTTTTCTCTTTATATGATTCAAAATACAAGTAATTTATTTTTAGGTTTCCCACAGAAGACTAGAACCCGTCCTCTTGATTCGGATTGGTTCATCCCTAATCTATAGCTATATGAATATTTTTAGAAGTTCCTATGATAACTAACTCATTTATTTGTAAAAAAAGTTGCAATTTTATAGGCATGATAAATATTGTCTTTTGATCATGACCCAGATGTTTTCGATTAAACTCTGGCAATTGTTCTCTTTCCAATTCCTATGTCTGACTAAAAATCTCATTTTTACCTAATGACGGATTGTTTTACTCAAAGATCAATATAATTTATTTTGAATATCCGAATTACGGCACCTAAAATGCATTAACTTGCTTTTATGACTATCCAATTCTAAGTTTAATTTAAAAGTAGTTTCCATCATGAGTGAACATCAACTGAGAAACTTCCAAAAATCAGGGATTTATTGAACATGTATTTCATTCTTTCAAAAGTTAACTCATGATAAAATTGTTTTCTGAGAAAGATTCTACACAAGTAGATGATAAACTCATGAACTACTTTTTACGTATGGGTAGCAATTTAAGTAAACTTCACAATATAGCAACTGATAATTTCAATAAGATATATTTGATCAAACCTCAAATTGGTTCTAGTACAATTGGTTAATGTGTATTTTTATTATATCACAAAATGAATCGTAGTGGTTTAAAGAAAGTTTTTCAAACAAGTGTATGAAAACAATGAGATCTTGTTATCATTACCGGCTCACAAGAAAATTCGACTTTTCCACCTCAAGTTATGTATATACCATTTAATCAATGACCAATGTTCTCACGCTAAAATTCTTTTAGTGATTTGGACATTTTTTTCTTCACAATGATAATGAGAGCGCATTTTATTATGATTCGTAGTCATATTTATTGATTTTATTTGACCTTAAATAAATGTACTTCTTAACATAGTGTACAACATAAAATCACTTAAAAATTATGTCAAAAAATTCCAAGAAATCGTATTAATCGATTTACTTTTATTAGTTATTGTTAAAAAATTTTTATATCATGTATCTAAGTGTATATACATATGTTTCACTACTCGACTCTAATATAAATCAATCAGAAATTCATTTCTAATCATTGCGTGTTATACATAGAACGCTGATTGTAATAAGAGTACTTCTGTTTTCCGATATAGATTATTAAAATAAAATTGATGATTAGCTAAGCCTGAAACAATTCAAACTAACCGTATAATGCTTTAATCTCTCTGTTTGATTGTCGACTAATCTCAGTTAGAGTACCACAGTAAATCGAGAAGAATTTGGCAACTAGTATAGGACCTCTCAGTAATTTATACCTTTAACTCCCCTAAAGATCAGACGCAGAACCTGCCAATCTAGTGAAAAAAACTTAGATATTCGAACCACTAGAGTTACGTCGAATGGTACAAATCCCGGACTTTAACCAATTTGGAATAAAGCGTGAAGGTCGTCACAGGTGCTTGGCAATAGCTGTTTCGCTCCAGCGAATTGTGAGCTCCATAAGCCACGATGTTCCACTAAAACTTCAGTTCACCCAGAGATCTTTTGGTAGTAAACTGAGTATCACGGTTTAGAGGAATTGTATTCTAGGACAAAACAACTAGCCAACGCTGCTTGGTTTTCAGTGACACAAAAACTGAGATCAGTTCGTAATGAAAACTTTCTACAAATTAAAATAATCTCCACAAAACTACTTCTGAAACATGATAACTTGTAACAAATTAAGTACATACAAAAACTAATCACATTGTATATAGAATATTTTGTCTTCAGCTTGCAGTTCTATATAATGCGTCAGCTTGTGTTCAAATCTTGATCAATCCACCATACATGTGTAGTCCATATTACGTTAATAAAAATGGGGAAAGTCCCATGCAACTTGCAGAACAACAAGGATGTTTTAAATTACAGTGCATAATGGCAGCAAATTCACCAGAAAACTTTTTTGTCACTGCAGAATTTTCACTTCGATCAGTTTCATCACTTTTAATTTATCCACAAGCATTTATTAAAGAACCATTTTCCTACAGTGAGGTAAGTAATAAATTATTTTAATGAATGTAACATTGAACATTTGTTAAACGGCTTATTTTTCGGCTATTCAATAATCTAGGTAATGAGAATAGAGGGTTTGAATGAGTTCAGAAGCTCCAACATATTAATCTGTTTGAAGTTTCAATGAACATCCTGATATATGTATTGACTAATACTTCCATCTTTTATGTAACTTGGAAACAGAAAAACCTATCTGATTTTCACTACATAATCATAGTGATCAAAGTTTTGCATTAAAAACTGAACCAATAATAATTGTATTGAAATACTACCTCATCTATTATTAGTTAAACTATTTCCTAACATCTTGGTTAGTAAACACTAATGTCTTTTTTTATTCAACCTTATTTTGTACTTCAGACTCTATGAAAATAATGTGAACACGATAAAATTAAAACCCATTCGTTACATATTTATCACTAGATTTATTCATAATAGCTACTAATTAGTGCCATTGACTTTGCTATTTTTTAAACCAGTTTTTCGAACAGTATAATTGTAGGATGGAGCTAAAAACAACTTGATAAAGATCCTTAAAGTGACTTGTTCCCATAATTACTCGCGGAATCGGTTTCACTTTTCTTTACTAAAATTATACCATTTATATTGAATCCTCATTCTATTGACTTAGATAAAACATTAAAATATGTTTAAAACTTGTGAATTATCTACGTTTTATAGAACGAAACATCTGCTTAATTGATGAAATACTAAGTAGTAAACATTTTTTTGTTAACTTAATAGCTTTTCACTTGGAATAATTATGATATTATGCCTGGTAGTGCAGTTGAATACTTGAACAATAGAACAATTAACCAATATGGATCAGTTCATAATCTATCATTGCTTTTCGAATTGAAAATAGCAACGCCAGAAATTTGTCCAACCATATCGTCAGATATAAATGAAGTATGTAAAATTTCAAATGAAACTAAGAAATATTATGACGAAACACTACATGATCAACGCCAACATGCTATGGAACGGCATATTTTAACTATTTTCTCTGAACATATGACAGTAACTCATAAATGGGAAGAAATATGGAGTAGATTATATTATACATGGTTATTTTATCGTACAGTCATTAAAACTAAAACGGATAACAAATTAGACAACACCAAGCCATACATATACATTCAACAACCATTTGAATTACAAGCTATTTGTCGTATTTCATTGAGAAGATATGCGGTACATCAAACAGGTATTTAAAAATATCATGACCTATGTATCTGATTAAATTGTTACTTATTAATTAGGATATCATTTACATAAAACCTAGTCAATCTTAGAAATGAGAGTCGTTTCAACTGACTGTGAGTTAGAGAGATTGATATTATTCATTGCTTCGTAGATTGTTTTCATCACCAAGAATCAGCAGTAGCTCTTTCATCTTACAGTGAGGTTTCTTAACATTGAGCAATTATCACTCCATCAGGGGTCTAACTTAAGACATCTTTACTGATTTATGTATTTCAAGCACAAATATTGGTATAAGAAGGCCCTAAAATAAATATGCACCGCACAAAAATGAGTTTACAGATATAATGAAAAACAAAAAGAGTAGAGCAAAAAATGAATGCAAATTAGTATATGGGAGTGAAATAATAACGAGAATAATTGAGGGGGAAACAGTTAAGTTAAGGAAAATACTGAGAGTTCTTTCAGTCAATGAATTTCGTCTCACTTATATGACGCAAACAAAGGAAAGCTACAACATCACTATCACTGGATTCTATTTTGAGCTATGTTTGATAACATCTTATGCAACTGACCTGCACCACCACTCAAGCCACAACAAGCGCCACAGATGGCCCACTCTGGCTCATCTGCCTACACGTCAGTTGATTCTATCACTTACGCCACCATCAGTACTTACACAGCTTCCCAGATACACGAACTTCTCGACTATTTTGATCTGCCCACTACAAAGAGTGAGTGCAGGCACAAAATCCTGCCAGACTTTTAAAAGTACTTTGCACTCAGAAGGTGCAAAGCATATATGAAACCTACATACTAATTGCCAACTGATTAAACGATGATTGCATGGTTTAGGAATCTTCACACAGTCAGACAATTTCATCCACATAATGAAGGCTAGAAGATCTTCTTTCCAGGTAACAGACCCACACCACCATTACCTAAATCCGTCAGGGCTGTGTTCAGAACGTCATTGGTGGCAAAGCCGGAAAGGAATGGTGAGATCAGGCAACCCTGTCTAACTTCACTACCTGAATGAAACAATGGAGAGGTGGCTGCATTCCCTCCCTCTGACTGAGGTGTTTGTATATAGGACCTTTAAGATGTTACGAAACTTTTCAGACACACCGTTCTCCAGTATACAATCCCAGAGATCTGTCTTGTCTAACGAATTGAAGGTGACCGTGATATCAAGAAACACAACGATTGTTGACTTGCGTAAGTGTGTCAGTTCCCTGACATTTGACGGAGGTAGAAAGTATTATCAATACGTCCTCGATCAGAACCGAAACCAGGCTGCTCCCCTCGACTCAATCTTTCCTGGGTTTTGAGCAACCTACGAAGTGTGATGCACGTAAGTTAATCATTTGTATGCAATCGTAGTAGACTAAATCCCTGATGGTTTTTACATAGCTGACTTAAACCCTTTTTAAAGATGGTGAAAAACTGTCAACTTTTTCCTGGTTTTCGCTACACTTCCTAATTTCTACACCGTTGTAAATAGATCAATTAGTCTCGTAGTCAGAATGTCGTTACCATCTTTACGCAGGCTTCGGGTTAAGCCACCTAGTCCTGGTGATCGGTAGCGTTTTGAGTCGGAGCTCTTTGCGGAACTCTGCCTTGTTAGGTAGGTCAGTCATCCTCAGCCGTGGAGAACAGATGTGTGATCGGTGTCGCCGAGGCAGCAGAGTAGCTGCACTGTTCCCTAAAAAACTGTCTATCGGTCAAGACGTCGGCAGATGTTATGGAATTGTGTTTTACCAGCTCCATAGATTTCTCTGCTCACAATAGACATTTTGCTGCCAATGGATCGGATGGGTTGAAAGAGCTTAAAGCGGTTGCCAGCTGCTACTGCAGATTCCACTTCGTCGTCACGCTACGACCACCGGGTTTCTCGGTCCTCATGCGAACTTTGCTCTATTTGATTACGTAACAGTCTTCTTTTGTCGTCAAACTCGCGGTTATCAGGAGTAGGTCGACCTGCCTCATCGACTTGTGAAGAACCTGTAGATACCTAGCCCTCATAAGCAGGGCGTTTCTCGAAGCCGCAAGCGACTTTACTTGCCATTTTCATGGCGCCGTGCAATCGCAACCAGTGCTCATGTGTAGAATTTCGTTCGTATGAAGTTCTACGTCCTAACTGACCGACTGGATGAAGCTGGTAGCCAGCTTTTAACCTACCTTCGTTCAATACCTAGTTGCAACAGAAGCTAAAACAAATTTACTGGCATGTATCCGTTTGGGACGATGAATTTATGGGCCAGTGAAACGTTAAATAAGACTAACGCAAACAATGGTATGATCAGTCCCCAGATAAATGCTACAAAAAGCGCAGCAACCTTGTACACAACCACGCTAACAGCAGTGGATCGCGATGTGATCATTCTGAGTCCAGGCTTGAGATGTAGAGAGACCGTGCCAGGTAGCTCATCGGCAATAATTGTGCCGATTGTGACTTCTAGTCCCTACTGTAGCTGTTTGATCTTCATACCACCAAGTTGGGAACTCAATGCTGTATATTTTCTACTTCAATTAATTCGTCATTTGCCAAAATGATCGTGCAGTGTCATTAGTGACAATGATCTTACTCCCAACATGACTGATCTTTATGGTTAAATCAACACTTATTTGTTATGTATGTAGACTTGGATATTTAATCTTGACTCATTCATTGAGTGTTGTACAAGTTGGAATGACTTACTCCATATTAAAATGTTGTTGAACGAAACACTAACTGATTAGACAATAACAGTAGTAATAACACTGCTGTTAATTTTAGTTTATCAACATGTAGGAAAGAATTTAGCCAATAATCACTGAATAAAAATTACTGTCAGTTCAGAGATCAGGAGTGTTATAATGGTGCCCCATTATGATACTTCAAATAAGCCATTTAGAAGGTTCTTATAAATCATTCATGATAACTACAGTTCTCAGAAATGCTGTCACTTTGTAAGTGCGTTTCAGTTTAGTCCATGCAAGTTTTAAGTAACTAATATAAAAATCTGAAAACAGTAGAAATGATATTCCCATCTTCTGTCTATTCTTAGTAAAAATATCTATTGTTTGATTACAAGAATCAGGTTTTCCTTACCAACCCTGTGCTACATTCGGAATTTCAAAATTGTCCCATTTCTGTTATGTAAAAACTATATTCCAAATGTCATATTTTGACTACACTAGATATAATAACTATTTCAGCTTTAAGAGCTTTCATACTTTTACTTCCCTCTGCCCCAGTACTGAAGAACATTTGTAACTTGTCATACGCGGAATAATGCTCATTAGTTACTAGACAGCGGTAGGAGTATTTATAAAATTGACAACTGCTTTTACGTTATTCTGCAATTACACATTGTCAAGTGATGCGCAACTTTGACTACGTATTCATTCTACTATCTTAATCATTACATGTTTGTCGTTATGAAAATGCGAACCAGTTTTTCAAGTATTACACTCTCTGAATGTTGCAGTTGCAGTTGTTTATTTACAAGGATCGTCTTTCTGCATAAAAAACGATCATTAAGGATATTTAAAGGTAACCGGTCTAAGAAAATCTCAATGAGAACATCGATGCCATTTGATACAAAACTGAGCCCAAATTCATTGTCGCTCATGATGACTTCAGTTGGTCATCATGATTTTAAGACTGCATAATGATAATTTATTATATTATACGAAAACAGCTACCAAACTGAGTGAATGTGTACGGATTATGTTTAACAATAAGTTGTATTTACTATCGGATTTATGTAGAACCTAGACCGAGAAATATCTCAGACACGTTAACTTGTATGTGAAAGTAAATTTTACCTGGATTATTTATGGTGTACATTTTTTGTCATAATAAAGAAGTTATTTTCATTTTGAAAAACTACTTTCACTAGGCGTCAACTATGCTTACTTCGTTGAACATTTGGATTTACCAATACACTTGAAAAATTACCTACTTTATAGTGAATACTGGTCTGTTTGAGAATTCACAAACAATTAAATGATACTAATCTACATTCAAAATCATGTTTACAGATACACTCAAATTTCGCACATGATTCACATCGACTGAAAGTGTAAATACTCAACCAATCAATTCCTAAATTGAAATACAAGGAGAGTTATTTCTTAAAAAACTAGTCTGTTACTGTTGTTTTTTCCGTGTTATGTTGAACCACATGTAGCCAAGCCAATAAATTTTATTTTCAGGATGGAACAGTCTTAATTCGCCTTTAAATGAATACTTATTCTATTTCGATAACTTATCAAAATAAAGCATATCCCTGATATATTTTTATTGGAAGTTTGAATCTTCCCACTGATGTTTAGGACTGCAATTGATCACTCTCTTTTGGAATATGTGTATTCTGTGCGGATTACCTCGGTATAGTCACTAAGTCACAGGTGTTGTACATATAGATAGATAGTGGCTAGCAGTGGAATCCAAGACGGGTGTTTCGTACTATCTGGGACTCGTCAGCTGGATGTGTCTGTATCCAAAAGTTGATGTTCACTCTGGGACTTTAACCCAGTTTTGTTCGCTGCAAATGCCATCGCATTGCCCACTTAGCTGCTGAGTCCATATAGAGACTTGCTTGTACAGTGAGGTGAAGTTTTAACGCATTTGTATTGGCAGTTTGAATCTTACCACTGATGGTTAGGACTGCAGTCGATCAGCTCATTGGAAGCGAACGGTACTGGATTCGAGTGCCAATTAGGCACCTGCAACGTAGAACGTGTTGCGTACGTACATCAGTTCAAGTTGCCGTGCCATATTACCACAGAGAGATCGAAATGTTAGTTCGAACTATATGGTACTCCCAGTTATAGCATTATTAGCGGTAATCAAGAAGACTAGAGATCGGAGATATTTTTCGAGAAGTATAATCCAGTGAAATAAATTCAATTCATGAGGAATCCAGGATATTAGAATTTGAGAGCAGACAAATAATGGATGCATCTGCGCCATTGCAAACGATTTTGAGCCATGTAATTCGAAGTCTCTAACCACCGGTTACTATCATCTCGCGGACCACAACTTCTGGTAGCCTACACCTACTAACATAACTCAGTTCAATCGTCATTGACCTCATGGGTTGGTGATATTTACTAATCAAATGTTGCTTTAAGTAGTGTCATTCAAATAATCTTCACACCACTAACAGTAAAATATTTTATCGAATGATATGAGCTTATTATGTGTTCAGAATGTTGGAACAGTAAAAGAAAATCACTATAAAATTAACGATAGACTCTCTGACCATTATCTAAACACCTATACAATTGACGAATGTGACAGGCTTGTCAGCTGATATTAAGCTTCTTGCATTGATTCAGTTGATCAGGTTATGGGCGATCTGACGGTCTACATGTAGTAATACAGTGAATTGTTTGATCGGTAAAATCGAAGACTAATCATATCTGTAGAAAACAATAAAGACTAGAAATGAAGTAATTCTGCAGAAAGCAATCTTATTAATAAATACAAAAAATAGGCGGGAAAAAACAATAAAGGTCAAAAAATTTCCAATCTCTAACTGAAAAATTAAAAATAAAATGATATTTGCAGTTGCAATTGTGTCTCATACGAAGTATAAAAATATGAAATAAGTAAAAGTGAATTCTTACAACTGTCTATTTTCATAAAATACATTTTCAATCATATGATCCGTTATTTCGTTGTGATGATAATCATTTGTTTTAACGACTTTGACTTGAGATCTATCCAAATCCGGCCATAAATCGCAGTAGGACAAGAAAGCACGTAGTTTAACTGGAATAGGTAGCCTTGCAATAAAGCTAGCATAATTATAGTATTTCACTGTCTGAGATGTTTCGTAAGCTTGTCTTCGAAAATCTGCAGCGAGGAAAGTAATTAGACTTAAAATAAAATTCATGTCAAAAATACCATACTGTTATGAAATGGTAACAGTCCAGTTGGTTAGTAAATACACTACTGTTGTTGGTTACTTATTCGGTTAGAAAACACTGATTTACGGGAACATGGAGCTTGTTTCAAACCTACCTCTACACCAAAAAACATCTCTCATCGAAGCAGTTGGACATTCGTAAAACATGTCCCAACAACATCAACTGGTGAAGTTTCAATACTTCGTCTATTGATCTGCCATGCTAACAACAGCATTGCTTACTCGATAGCCACAAGATAAACGAGCACTGCTTCTGAGATACCTATGATCGAAAACGAGCAACCTAGGAATATCTACTCTGACTGGCCACGTTCCGCAGCTACAAAGTGGGACGGAGCGAAATGCTGTGCAGTACACTCGTCCTTTGGTTAGCAAACGGATATCTCGCCTACGACATAAGTGACGCAGGTTGACAAAAGCCAATCGAGCGTTCTGTATCCGTGCTGAGATTTCGTCAGTCACCAGCACTCATGAGATAAGTGAAGCGGTCAGCATGCCTAACTGCTTCATTCCCTGTCACCGATTCAGGTGCCGATGCAACCCAATCCTGAAACATTTTGCATTTCGACGGGGAGAATTGCATCGCGAACATGATTGCATTGTTGCTTAAGATGTTCGAAATACTGCGTTCTATCAGTGTTCAACAAGTAGAACTATGTCATCAGCAGATTCTAAGTCAACAAGTGTGTCTCCTGGTAGAAGGTCCACTCATGAAAAGTGAGACGAAGATAACTTTATATCTAAAAGCATGTCTACGACAAAGTTAAACAAGAATGGAGAGAGTGAGCAGCCCTGATGGACACCACTTGAAGTAATCAATTCAGATGAAAGTTCGCCATATGCTCTCACTCGACCTGTAGTGTTCGAGTAGAGAGCTTGTATGAGGTTAATGTGCTTCGCTGGTACACCCTGTAATGACAAACAATGCCACAGCCTCACGACAGACGAAGTCGAGTGTCGCTCTAAGGTCCAGGAAGACAACTATTCTAGGAAGAATAAATGTGTGTCGGTGTTCCAGGACCTGACGTAGTGTGAAGATGCGGTCTACAAAGTCAAGTCCACGTCGAAAACCAGACTGGTTCTCTCTAGTCTGCTCTTCACCAGCACTAGTAAGGCGTCTAAGAATAATCGCGGCTAACAATTTAGAAACTATATTAGTTAGACTTATCCCCTTGTAATTGTCACAAGACGACTTTTGTCATTTCTTGTAGATTGGAACAATTAGAGACAGACCAGTGAGATGGGATTACGTCCAGTTCCCAGATTCTATCTAAGATCTCGCTCAATCTAACTGTTGAAACTGGACCACCATCCTTAAAAATCTCAGGGGTAAGCATATTAAGACCTGCTGCTCTACCTCGCTTCAGATTTCCTATAGCTTTCTCAACTTCATAAAGACTAGGAGGACTTAAATTGATTTGCCATTCCGGTAACTGGAGATCGTGGGTAAACGAAGTGTTGCTGACAGACAGACAGATACAACACAGAACATCGTATGTAAGTACATAAGTTCAGGTTGCCATACCACATTAGCACAGAGACGCAACTGTCAGTTCAAATCACATAGTGGTAGCGATAGTAGAAGTATTACTGGTAATCGAGAAGATTAGGGTTTGAAGATATGATTCGAGAAGTATAATTGAGTGAGATAAATTTAGAAAGATAAAGATGGTGACGAATCCAGAAGGTTAGAATTTGAGAGAACAAAAAAAGTGGATGCACTTGCGCCTTTGCAAACTATTTTGAGCCATGTGGTTCAAGGTCTCCAACTATTGCTGACTTACGTCTCGCGAACCAGTAACAGCACGCAAAGTGTTGCTGAAGGCCAGCCGAATTGATCCTCCATCGATCCAATCTCTTGAATTGAGAGTGAATAATAAGTCTATCCTTTCCCGAGATAGTCTCACTTACAGTCGGATTTCTAATACCGGTTTCCTTGATGAGTCTGAATAGTTGCCTACTGTCGCCTTCTCCATCTCCTTTGCTTTCGCTACCCACCACTGTTTGTGATCATTGAGTACGCTTTTTATCAGCCTGCGCTTAAGCTCACTCCGCTCCTCATCGCACCCAGAGCCAGGCGGGCTGAGTTTCCGAGCATCCATCAGTTCGGTAGATTCTACTGAAATCCACGGCTTCTCCCTAACCTCATGGTTTACCTACCTTACTAGCAGATATCACTGCTGTTTCCACAGCCTTTTCGATATCATTCCAAGCTGTCTCAGGCTGGAGATAACTTACTACATGGCTGCCTAAATGTTTTTCTAATTGTTCCTGGAACATATTCTTAGCTTTATTATCATTAAGTAGAGCCCTAACAGGTTTCCTAGCGATATATTTCCTACGAAAACAAATACGCGCTCGCACTAGAGCATGGTCTGAGTCTAAACAAGTGGTCCAGAATGACCGGTAGTCTTCAATAGAGCATCTCCACTGGTGGCTGATAGCGATCTAGTTGGGTCCAGCGTTGAGACGACTTTGGGGATTGCCAGATCAAAAGGTGTTTTTCCTTATGCTTAAATTTAGTGTTTGCTAAGAATGGGCGGTTATCTGAGCATAGTTGCAGCAGACGGTCGCCATTGTCTGTTTTATTAGCCGCGACATCATAAGATCCACCCAGGTGTCTTTCCTTCACACCTAGTCTACCAACTTGAACATTGAAGTCATCGGCCATTATAACTAAATCAGGCGCTTAGCTTTTTGGAGGAGGTCCGAAAGCTTTCTCTAGAACTCATCTTTCAACTCGTCTGAGCTGAAGTCAGTGGGAGCGTGGGCAGAGACAACGAAGAGGCAACGGCGAGTTTCCTTATCTTTCCGAGTCCGTACAATCCCGTTTAGTCAGACAGTGCATAAGCGACTGTCTACTGGGATCCAATCTAAGAGAGCTTGTTCTGCCGGACGACTTGAAACTATACCTACGCCAGCCAGGCCACGGGAAGCAGCATCAGGGCTACCGGAAACACGAAGTGTAAACAGTGTTGTTTCTCTATCTGCACTAGGTGAAATCTATTTGATGATTTTACTCGGATCTTGTATGCGCGTTTTGGAGACGCAACATTCATCGATCGCCCGGGATTCCAGAGTTCTACCTAAGGAAGCCTGTTGCCCCATTTGACACAATGTCCGAACATTAAAAGCTCCAATATGTAATTTAGTACGGGGTTTCAAGAGACCAGGAATAATGTTTTGTGAGCTCATACCGTTTGCCTCAGTGGCGTGAGGTGATGAACGATCGAAAGAAGAGTTGGTCGAGGAGGTAAGAGAGTTATTGGGTGTAGGAAGGATTTGATTCTGACCGATTTGGTCCCGTGTGTTTTTATGGGTGTGAGGGCGGATGTTACTTCCCGGCTACCCACACCGTGAAAGGGTGTTTCTTGAGGAACCTGAAAAGGAAATCAGGTAAGGATTGGTCTGAGCGACGTAGGAGTGTGACCACATAGCCCAAAGGACAACTGCTGGAAGCCGGCCAGGCACAGCCATTTTATGGGAAGTTTTCAAAGTGTTAGCTCCGCTTTTGTTTAAAAGGCCTAACCAGCGGAGACGAAAACCCGTGAGGTAAGGTGAGACGTAACATTTTTAGGGTCGACCTTTTCTAACCCTTTTCTTCCTTGTGAGAGGGCAGAATCACCGCAAATGCTAGTTGTCCGAGGGAAACACATTACTGTTGTTACACCCCTCTACAGTCAGCAGTACGACTTCGCCCTCAAACCTTGGGTAGCTAGCTGCCTTTAGTCTCAACGCTCTCCAATCGCCCTGTCTGGCATGGAAAAACCTACAGGAACATATACTCCAGCTAATTATAGCTCGGTTGGATCATCAGGATAGGTAAGCCTGACCACTACGTCAAGGTAGCAGTTACGGTCGGCAATTAAGATAGAAATTTAGTGAAAATGATTTCGCAGTTGATCTAAAGGCATTTAAAGTCTGCTCAAATAATGTACCTAGCTGATTTATTTAAGCGAATCTGTGAATTCATATTTCGTACTTCATAACCTTAATAAAGCTGATTTAACAACTTACATTACAAAAATTATCAAAATAAATAGGTGGAATCACTACAGCACTAGAATGAATTATGATTACAGTTTGAAAAGATTGTTCCTTGTATCCGTTTAGTGATTTCTCACTGTATTGGGCTATTATGGACTAAATCACCAAAATGGATAATACAGCTAGATTTTTACTTATACAGTGCTCCTTCAGAATCAAACTTGTATAACAGATGAAAATTATCTGTTGTAGCTAGAAGAACCTGTTTAGTTATTTGTACTTTCAAATTACCAGTGTGAGATATGCTCCGAGGGACTAAAAGAATAAACAGTTTACCTTTTAACAATAATTAAATACTAAAACAACCTTAGGTGTAAATAGTTCACAAAAACTCGGAAATTCCTGACAGCCTAATCTGTTCGACATCCCTGAATTCGAATTCAGTAATCAATACCATAAATTCATACGCCCTGAGATTGTTGTAAATTTAAGTGTATCAGTGGAGTTTTTCTTTCAATATCCCAAGTTTTAAGAAAAACTAAACAATGCCTTTAAATCATGTCTTTGTTTACACTCATTTTCACAAAAAAGTTCTTAAAATGATCTTTTTAAAGAATTCACTTCTAAATAATGGGTTTTATATCTAATAAGATATTATTTATTTTCACCTATGAAGGTAACGCATCTCAGTCAAGGGTAAAAACTGACTAAATGACCAATGATTTCTTACTGTTTATCATGCCTTTTCGACACAGAAACAGGGAAATGTAAATTTTGCTTATCTGGTGAAAGGAATTTAGTGTAATACTGAGAAGTGATATAATGTTTTATTGTTCATCAACAATATTTCATAGGAATATGGAGCATAAGACTTTATCCTAAACTTGTGGTATGCATCTCTTACTGTTATAAACAAGTCTGATATTATTAAATTTGGAAAGGCATTACAGCATGAAACAACTTGAAAAAGTGAATCTATAGTGACTTCCGAAAATATTTCTGGGGTCATTAAAAACAGGAAAACCTAAATGGACCATATCGAAAAAACAAAATCTCATAAAACCGAACGATGTACTTCTATCGTGTTTCACTGATTTCTGAATCGTACTGTCCACCTTGATGAGCTTATTCCCGGATGATAGTAACTAAAAATGTAACTCATACGATTGAACTACAAATCGCTAGGTAAACAAATTTCAAACACTTACCTATTATAGTTAAAATATGTCTCCTGATGGTGATTCGACAGAAATCCATAAGACTTAGAGGACCAAAAGAAGGAAAATACTGCTGATCACAACCATCAGACTGAATTTTCGTGAGTGATCGATGTGATGCCCATGCAGTAAATAAATTATGCCAAGTAGTATTCCAAACATAACTGTCGCTATTAAACAAACAATTCGGATAAGATGTACAAGAAATATTATGAGAATCCATTAGAGAAGCCCGTCCAAGAGCTGACCAAAGGGCAATATTAAATGAGCAAACAGGTCCTGATAATAGTAGTTCAAATAATAAGATGATATTTTCGGCCGTATATTGCAGATTACTTTCATCATACATACATGCACCAAATACCCACGTCAAGTCAGAATTTTGAGAATCATAGCTCTGAAATCAAAAAGAGATAATGTTCCTGTAAACAAAAACCAGATTAGGAAATAATATCAGGCACCAGTGTTTATTGCTTTCTGGTAGTTCAACTATAAATAGTTTTGGGTTTATAACCACTGAGACAAAGTTTTCTCACTTAAGAGTACGATTAACATTACTGAATTGTCTGCGTTCACTACAACCGACTCGTGTTCTTATTTTGATTAGAAATCCATTTGCATTATTTCTCGACGATCATAGATTCTCATGATAAACTTGAATTTTAACAAATTAAAAGATGCTGTGGTAAATGGTCACCTGTTTTTATTTAGAAACATAGTTTACTCGCTGATTAATTTTCTGAATTAAAACTTTAGATATCTAGAAAACCTCAGTGGGTTAATCTGTAAGTGAATTGTCGATTGGTGCCTGTTTACATAAACTTCGACACAATTAAAAAACGACCTTATCTCTTAACGAGGTTTACTTCGATTTATCTGAGTGTCATTTTGTAAATTAATTCAATAATGGCTTGAAGTCCAACAGAAAACACCGACTAACCAATTCCAATCTAACGAAAAACAGAAAGCAACACACTACCCCATTACTTAGTTTATTGACTACGTTTGATTAATAAAATTTGATGAAGTAAAGGTTATATAGCATATCCTTAAACCCTTAATGACTGACTAGTTCACTTCATATAGACGTCACGACGTAAGTTTGGACGAATTGAAATACCTCTGAAATTATAATATTCAGTTGTGATACGTAGGACAGTATTTACAAATATTGCTCCAGTGTATGTTAGCAGCATAGGAACTAATCGTTACAGTCCGTTGGCGATCACGATACATATTCATTTTCTTAATGAGTATCACATCTACTGTTTCACAAACTGACAAGTACAACAGATACAATGATCTCCATAAAGACTTAATTGGTAAATATGACATTGAATTCCAATTTTTGAGATGGGAATGTTACAATAAATGTGCTAACATGAGTTTATGATATATAAAAACACGTAGAACCTTTAGGTCTACCATTGAACTAAATCATCTGGAATGCTAATTTTCTACAACAGTCAATCAATCAATTGCAACGTAGAACTTCTCATGTAAGTACATGTTCATGTTGCCATACCACATTAGCACAGAGATGTATTTGTCGATTCGAACCCCATGGTAGTATAGCTAGTAAGGTATTAGCAGTAATTGGGGAGATTAGGCTTAGAAGATATTATTCAAGAAGTAGAATCTAGTGAAATAAACTTAAAAAGAAAAAGTTTAGGATTTGAGAGAACACAAGGGATGAACGCACCTGCGCCATTGCGAACGGTTTTGAGTCATGACATTCACGGTCTCTAACCATTGATTATTATCTTCTCGCGGACCCCAAACAGATAGTCGACACCTACTGACATGACTCAGTCCACTTGTCAGTGACTCCATGAATTCCTGCCATGTTTTGGTTTAGCCGGCCCGAACTTTCTTCCAACATATTCCGACACCGTAAAATATAGCTCGACGAGGCAGTCGGTGGTTAGGTATACGCAACGCATGTCCCAACCACCTCAAGTTTCATTACTTCAGCTATTGACCTACCATCCGTACCTAGCACCCGTTTCCTAACAACAGCATTGCTTAATCGGCTCTTCCATAATACACGAACAATGCTTCCGAGACACCTATGATCGAAAACCAGCAACCTACGACTATCTTCTACACTGAACGGCCATGTTTCACAGCCATAAAGTACGACGGAGAGAACTACTGCGCAATAGACTCGACGTTTGGTTAGCAAATGGATATCTCGCCTACACCATAATTGACGCAGGTTCGCAAAAGCCAATCGAGCCTTCTGTATTCGTGCTGAGATTTCGTCAGTCACCATGCCATCGGCACTGATGAGACTCCCCAGGTAAGTGAAGTGATCAACACGTTCGACTACTTCACTCCCTATCACTAGTTCAGGTCCGATGCAACCCAGTCTTGAATCAACATTTTGCATTTCGAGGGTGAGAACCGCATCCCGAACGTGCTTGCATTGTTGCTTGTGGCAGTCAGAAGACTCTGTATTTGTCAGCGTCTTCACCTAATAGAACTATGTCATCGGCATATTCTAGACCAGAAAGCGACTTTCCTGGTAGAAGGTCAACGCCTGAAAAATCTGACGAGCTTAATGTTAACTCTAAAAGCATATCAACGGCAAAGTTAAACAAGAATGAAGAGAGTGGACAGCCCTGACGGACACCACTTGATGTAGAGAATTCAGATGACAGTTCGCCATATGCTTTCATTCGACTTGTCGTGTTCGAGTAGAGAGCTTGTATAAGGGTAATGTACTTCTTTGGTACACCATTCAATGACAGACACTGCAACAGAACCTCACGATCCACTGAGTCAAACGCCGCCCTAAGGTCCAGGAACACGACTATTGTCGGCTGTCTAAATGTGTGTGTGTTACAGGACCTGTCGTAGTGTGAAGATGTGGTCTATACAACCACGTCCAGGTCGAAAACCAGACTGGTTTTCTCGAGCCTGCCCTTCATGAGCTCTAGCTAGACGTCTAAGTATAATCGAGGCTAACAATTTACAAACCATATTAGTTAGACTTATCCCCTTGTAATTGTCACAAGACGACTTTTGTCATTTCTTGTAGATCGGAACAATTAGAGACTGAGACCAGTCAGATGGGATTACGTCCAGTTCATATATTCTACTTAAGATCTCGCTCAATCTTACTGTTAAAACTGGACCACCATCCTTAAAAGTCTCAGGGGTAAGCATATTAAGACCGGCTGCTCTACCTCGCTTCAGATTTCCTATAGCTTTCTCTACTTCATGTAGACTGGGGGACTTAAATCGATTCGCCATTCAGGATGACTGGGGATCGTGGGCAACCGAAGTGTGGCTGAAGACCAGTTGAACTGGTCCCTAAAGTTTTCTGCCCATCGATCCAGTCTCCTGGATTGAGAATGGATAATAAGACCATCCTTTTCCGAGATAGTCTCACTCACATTCGGGTTCCTAATACCGGTTTCTTTGATAAGGCGGAAAAGTTGTCTAGTGTTGCCTATCGCAGCCACGATCTAGTTGCGTCCAACGTTGAGACGATTTCGGGGGTCGCCAGGTCAAAAGATGTTTTTCCTCATGCTTAAAATTAGTGTTTGCTAGAAATAGTTGGTTATCTGAGCACACTTGCCACAGACGGTCGCCATTGTCTGTTCTTTGAGCCGCGACACTATAACATCTACTAAGGTGTCCCTCCTGCTCACTTAGTCTACCTATTTGAGCATTGAAGTCACCAGCCATTATAACTATATCAGAGCGCTTAACTTTTTGGAGGTCCGAAAGCTTTCTGTAAAACTCATCTTTTACATCGTCTGAACTGCAGTCAGTGGGGGTGTAGGCTGATATGACGAAGAGGCAACGAGGACTGTACCGATCCTTTCGAATCCTTACTGTCCCGTTCAGTCGGACAGCGCCCAAGCGACTTTCTACAGGGATCCAGTCAAGGAGAGATTGTTCTGCCCTACGACTCAATGCTATACCTACACCAGCGAGACCCTGGGAAGCAGCATCAGGGCTACCGGATACACGAAGGGTAAATCGAGTTGCTTCTTTATCTTGACATGGTGAGGTTAAGTGGATGATGCTACTCGGATCCTGTATGCGCGTTTCCGAGACGCAGCACACAACGATGGCGCGAGATTCTAATGTCCTAGCTAATGAAGCCTATTGCCCTATTTGACACAACGTCCTTACATTGAATGCTTCAACATGTAGTTTAGAACGGGGCTTCAAGAGACCAGGAATAACGTTTCGACGACTCGAATCGTTTGCAGAAGAGGTGCAGGGAGATAAGGGAATGTGAGTAGAGTTAGTCGTGGAGATAAGAGAGATATTAGGGGTGAAGGAAGGATTTGATTGTGACCAATTTGGTCTCGCGCGCTGTTACAGGTATGAGGGCGGTTGTCACTTCCCGGCTGCCCACACCTTGGAACGGCGTTTCCTGAGGGACCTGAAAAGGAAGATAGATTAGTGTTGGTCTCAGAGACCTGGGTGCGTGACAGCAGAGCCCAACGGACAACAACTTGAGGCAGGTCACGCACGGCCTTTTTATGTGAAGTTTTCTGAGTGTCAGCTACGCTCTTGAAGGCCCTTAGTGGGCACCCTTACCCAAGGATACGGAAATCCGTGAGTTAGGGGAGGTGTGACATTTTCGGGGTCGGCCTTTGCTTACCCTTCCTTCCTTGTGAGAAGGCAGCATCACTGCAGATGCTGGTTTTCCGAGGGAAACACCTTACTGCTGTCACACCCCTCTGCAGTCAGCAGTACGACTTCGCCCTCAGACCTTGGGTAGCTGCTTTTAGTCTCATCGCTCTCCAATTGCCCTGCCTGGCATGGTAGAACCTTCAGGAACATAAGTTCCAGCCAATATAGCTCGGTTGGGTCATCACGATAGGCAAGCCCGACCACCGCGTCAAGGTAGCAGCTTCGGTCGGGTCATTTTTTGAAATGATTAATACAATCTAATCTCGCACTAAATCAACTTTCTAAAATCAAAATAAATACGGTGAGTTGTCATTTTAAAATTGTTTAGCTCAAACAGACCTAGGTAGAATTCTAAATCTAATGTGGTACGGAGTTCTACGTTGAAGCTGATTGACTGAAACAAACATACTAGTCCTTATATTGACTTTGATTCAGCACATTTACTCAGTAAATATATGTGGTTTTAGATCTCTAAAACAGTAAACGAGGTTATTACACCTCAATAGGATAAGCAAACAGGACAGAAGGGTAAAATTACTGTTGCATAATGTAATAGTTTTCCTATGGATATCGCTAAAAACTCTAAGATGGAAAGATTTATTGATTGATAGTCCAGATGAGATATCCCGAATCCATACCGTAGTTCTACCATACTGTCATTGTACAACAAGATAACCTTAAAACTATAGAGGATTAAACCATACAACACGAAATAACCAACACCCTTTGAAACACCCTAAACAATATCTAGAAATTTTATTCTGGAAGTAACTAGAAAATACACGCAGATTTGCAGGCACGATAAGGTTAACACAGACAGCAGTGTTTCATGTAAAGAACAGATAAATAATCTTAAATTGCTTGAAATGCAGTTTATAGATAATTTTGAGATGACATTTTTCACGTTGATTGTAATAATGTAACGTATCAGTTGGGAACTATTCGTTTGTATAAAGGATAAGATTCCTTTACATCAACACAGGACTATGTACTTTCATTAAGTTGTATCGAATGTGATTTGTTCCAAATTGGAAATTCATCGCGCAAAATTTTAACACAAGCTAAATAACATCTAGGGTAAACAAATAATCACCTAATAATCCTGTAGAACCTGAAGAAAATTAAGTCAGTAACCATACTGCACGCCATCTTTGATGACCGTCAAATCAATTTTACAAATATCAAAAAAATCGTAAAGGTGGGTGGCTGAGGCTTTTCATATATTGATAAATCCTACTGCCTTCATTAGAAAGGAAAGTCTTACCATTAATCTAAATTGGATCATTTATCCGAGCCACTATATCCATCTATTTACATCTCGCACTATTATTACACATACAAATTCAGCTTTGCCTTCTCGCATTGCAAAGGTCATATTTTTCATATCCATTAACATACACATAAGTACACAAGTATGTTTCACAATAATCATCTTCAGAAGAGTGACATGACATTGATTTCATCAAAAGCAGCCTTCGATCGCACTAAGTACTTTCGGCTTGTTCCTTTTTACCAGTCGAACTTATGTTAATTTATTTAGTTTATTTATTTACTACTTATTTTTTACTAATTGCGACATTACAGATATGCTGCTATTCATCACTGCATTTATGTTCGAACCATACAAAGGAAATAACAACAGTGGTAGATTGTTAGTTGTTTGATTTTGCGAACTACTGGTTATGTTTAATGTCCTCACTTTTAAATTGTCAATTGATCCCCAGCCTTCCTTTCTAGACTTCAAAAATAAACTTACCGTAAACAGATATTTCAATACGTGCAATAAATGACTTACAGCATTCAATGCTTCTAATATCAGTTCAACGGAACAGGGCTCAACCAGCAGAAGATCAACCGAAAAAGGACGCTTCTTGTAAGAATAAGGGGAATCAGAATGTGAAGCAAGGAAATAAACGACAGGCAAGTAGTGACGCCTCACAGCTAGATCTAATGGAGTATGACCAAGATAGTTGGGCTTTTCCGAATTCCAATTGAAAGGTGGATTTAATAAAAGATTAATGCATCGAGTAGCTGACTGGTGAACAGCAAACTAAAATATTTAACGCAATCGAATAAATAAATTGTTAATCATACGTAAAATCGAGAAATTTCAACAAGTGTGTGAACGTTAAAATATCCCAGTATATACATGACAGTTATTTGATAAACTTCCAACTATGACCTTGTGGGGGATAAGTTTTTAGCATTAACCTGTTTAATTTGGGTTCTTCTTTTATTTGACGTAAATAGATCACTCATATTTACGAAGAAAATAATGGTCTAAAGCTAATTGTTTGGTGTTTGCTCAATAAACACTAGACTGATTTACGAATAGATCGATATCGTTTGTTTCACTTATGGGGCGAACGTATTACGAGTCTGTGTGCGCTTATTAAGTTGTATTTGCTTTTTCAGTGCATTCTTTGCCTGATGTATAACGATACTATTACTTAGTAAGAACCCACCACAGATTTTAATTTGAATAACGACTTGACATAGTTCTAAAACTAGATGGGAAATATTATTAGGTACCTTACCTGACTTCAAGGGAAATATGATGCTAAATAATTGAGATAAGCTAAGCCAAAAAGCAATTTTGAATCCAAAATTAAAATAAACAATCCAGATGTTTGATGTTGATAACTAATCAGTGGAGTTTCAATACAAAAACGCCTAATTAGAGCTAACCTGATAACTTGGCTACCAACACACAGACTAGTGGACTTCGTGAATGTTTATGTCACCAATAAGTACAAGTAAACAACATGGTGAACCAGCCGTGATAATCTTGTTAAATAGTACAACTATAGAAAATTGTGATGTGCGAGACATAACTACCACTGACACTATTACTGCTTTTACAACTTTAGGACTCGTTTTGGGAACCCCGTTGTACTGTGGTGTCGTAAATTAGACTGATAAGTGTG